AAGCCCTTAATGCCTTTATTTCACAAATACTTACTCAAGTCGCGAAATGAAGATGTCAGCGTCCAATTTTCCTTCACGAATAACCGGACAAAGTGCAACATGTTTCCATGCGTTTGCTACAATTACTGAATCATTTGTCACGTGTACGAACTCAATGGAGGAAAATATAACTCATTCCGCTTTATGCTTTATACTTCACCACATATTTTGCTTGTCTCGTGTGTAATCGTGAAAGATGGAAATGAGTCGTTTGGATCGTGCCAAAAAAAGAATGTTCTTATAATTCAGTTTCTGTCTGTGTAAAAAAAATATTGTATAAATAAATGAATCGTTTTACAAACGGATATAACTCTTTGACCTATTTAAGAATCACAGATTTAAACACTTCTCTGTAACAAGTAGTGTTCTGTTTATGACTAAGATTTAGGAAGCGGTTAAACGGTTGTAATTTATCACATTTATTTTATACTTTAAACTCATATTTTTTGCAAAATATTTTTTAAACAAACATCACAGACAAATTTTTTAAACTTTTATACTTTTTTCATAAAAATGTTATATTTAAATACAAGTTTTTAAAGGATATATAAATGTATCAAAATATTGTCGGATGCCGCTAATGATTGAGTAAAATTTGCAGTATAAAATGTTTGAAAATTATATAGAGCGCGCATGATTAAAAATAAAGCGCTTAAAGTTTACCAAGCAAAAATCGCGAATATAAAAGGAGTTAAATAATTTCTTATGTCATAACCGGAATAAACGCTTGCTTAGCCAAGACTTTGACATTTAAGCTCATCTTGCCGGCTTTTATGCTGTCTTTACAAGATGCCACTATAAAACCTTGCTGTACAGTCTTCAAGATAAATAAGCCTGCCTTGTTTTAAGATGAGCTTGAGAAATTGCAATTCTCAAGGCGATATTTCGAGATCTACCTTAAACATTCTGCAACTTCAGACTCATCTGTGGCTCATAGCAATTAGTGAGCATAAGCTGTACATTTTTCCTATTACGATTTATTTTTAAACTTGATGAGCCAAATATTAAGAAATATTTAATGTATAAGTTGCGTATGTTATCGTATTTCTGTTTTTGGAAAAATATTTTTTATTCCTTTTTTAAATGTTTGTAACGCCAGGTTTTAAATTTGCATTTTTTGTAACTGAATAACTGTAACATTAATACTATTAATGCAAGAGTATCAAAATGTTGTGGACGAACAAATAACAAACGTGTTGTGAATTACTGAGGAAACGACAAAGTTTCTCTTTCCCTTTGTTTCTTTACCGTATCATACTCTTTTGTTAAAGAAATACGGAGCAGTATGGCGCGCATGATTTATGACGAAAATAAATATCTATTAAAATATCAACTGACGTCATTCATTTTTCCAATACCGCGGCGCGGACCAAATAGAAAACACATTCAGCGGATTTTAGGAAAATTATTGTGCTTTTATTTTAGGAAATACATACGAGGGATAAAAAGCGAGAAAAATAACAATCGAAGATCTGTGTAGCTTCAAACATATTGTCTTGTGTTTCTCGCGCTTTCTTTTGTACAAATATACTAACATTTTAAGAGACTTCTCTTTAACAGGAATTCTCAAAAAATAAGACTTTCAGCGAATTTATTTTAGAGATTCAAATAAGTAACGATACTTTTTTATTTTTATTTTAGATTAACATTATTTCAACACAATTTTAATAGACTTAATTAGGAAATATTTAAGGCCAATCTCTATGAAATTGGCTCTCGCACTCTGTTCTCTTCACACGGAACTGTGTAATATAATTTCACATCTCTTCTCCAATATAAACACCCGATGATTTTATTCTACGAATGTTCAACGAATTGTATGAATCACACAAAGAGCTTTAGAACTCGGAAAGCTTCATGCAAATCAATGTATAATGCTTTTCTCAACCACTCGAATGTAGTGCTATCAGGGTTGTCGAATTGTAATGTACTTTATTGAAATAACATAATGGGGTCAGTTGAATTTTGCAACAAAATTGTTTGCAAGCGTATTAAATATAAGTAATAAGTATTGATTATATAAAATAGAAAATAATGCAATTATATTAAAATATATGCAGAGAAGTTATAATTGTGAAAAAGAAAATTAATTACAATTACGGATTTCTTACTAAATTAAAGTGAAATAATTTTAACAAAAATATCTAAATAGTATTTAGTCTTAGAATATAAATAATTAATACTTTTTGGACACTTGTTATATCAATATATTCAACATTTAACATTAAAAAATTAAAAAGAACACACATAATTATAGAAAAAAATCTTATAGAAATTTTAAGACAACTTGTGCACTCAGAAATACGTGAAAAAATTACAGGGCAGCTATTATAAATTTAGTGAAAAACGTTTCCAATCAGAATGATTTCTTTTTCTATTATGACATAATAATAAGACATGTAGGGAAACAACAAAATGGAAAATTTCCAATCGGAAATGTTTCCGATTGAATACATAACAGCTGCCCAGAATATTCTTTAATCTAACAACTAAATTTGTAATTTCCCTTTATCACTTTGTACAACTTAGATTAGACATGATCGCAGATAGAATATATGATCGCATAGAATATACGATGATGCCTAAACCTTGAATACGAAATGTCTCAAAATCGCTACTATTACGTATGAGAGCTCACTTATATGCACAAATGGGCGCAAATCACTGTGCTATCATTACGCTATGATCTCCGGAAATATATTGAACACGTCTAGATCATTCACCTCGCGACGATCAGATTCGTTTTATGTTTCTGTGTTATATTTTGCCGTTGATTATGCCGAAACTTGTAAAAAAAATTATTTGGATTTTTTTTAATTTTAGTAACTTTTATTTGTCTTATAAAGAACGTTGAAATTTAGCAAGTAAGCGTATTAATTTAGTTTCTAATGTGGAGTCTATTTTTTAAGAGCCATGTTTCTTAATTTCACACAAGATAGTTGCTTCAAGCGTTTTTGACAAGTAACGATTAATTAATGAACTTTCCTTTTTTAAATTTTTTATTCAATACTATAAATAAATTTTATATCAAAAATATTTATAAGAAAAATTTTTATAAACATGAAAAATTGATTATTACTTCAAAGTTATACTGGATTATACATTTAGTCGAAATGGAAATCGGCCACAGAATTTTATAAATCACGTTACTTGGTTTATTTTTCTGCGATTTACTCCAATTCTGTTGTCCAACCATTGTGACCGTTCGGATTTTACAATATCTCGATAAATCTTTTTATAGGAGAATATGGCGTTTAAATTTCGCTTCCAATTAAGTATCTCGATAGCGCGTTGCACGTATCGATAGTTCAGCCATGGTTTGATCGCATCTCTAATTGAATTATCCGAAATTTACGCGAGGAAAGTTCATCGTGCATGCGAGACACACATATTTCTGGCTAAATCAATAAAATATAAAAACTAGATCTGAGAGATACGAAATAAGAAATAACGCATAAGGAATAAAATGTAAATCTGTATTAGCGAAATAAAATATAATTAAAGAAAACAACTAATTGATGAAGGAAATAAAATAAAGTTCTGAATAAATCAATATTTTGAAAGGAAACAAAATTATACGAAGCATGCAGGTTTATTTGTATTTCTCAGAGTGCATAAATCGTTAACGAAAATAATCCACCTGACTAACGAAAAACAACTCGCTCGGCGTTTTCTAATTTTTGTAGAGCGCTACATCTCTCCGCGAGAGGATTTATAGCGGCCGCGATTTTTCCTCCATGTCTAAATTTCCGTGGTGAAAAAAAAGCAGCTTTCCACCTGAAACCACCTGGAGAGCGCGACTATAAAAACAACGCACGCTATAGCATTGCATGAAATTACGCAACATGACAATCGTGAAAGATATATGCGTGAGCTTTGATTTTCGTAATGACGCGGCAAATCGAATTTGCGCAGGTGAATTTATAACTGTAATTGACACAGCTATGGATAAATCCGGCTCATGACGGAAATAATGTTACGATATAATATTATGAGAGCGGTGAAAAAGCCATTTATCCATAAAACGTATTTAAAATAATCATAATTGTCTGTTAAAATATCGACTTATATTTGGACGCGATAAATACAAATCTGTATTTTTGTTTCCAAAAAATTATGTAACATTTAAAAAATATTTTGTTATATAAATTTTAGAATCCAACTCGGTTCCACAATCTGTTTTTGCAGCTCAAAACGGAAAAGCTTATAAATTTTATCATGTGAATTCTTGTCACAAAATCGATAGTAAGCATGGTACCGCCCATTTTTGAGTTGAATCGTCCTCACAATTCCCCTTTCAAATGAAATTTTAGTATGGCATGTAGCCAACATCCCAAGTCGGATCGATCGTAAGATACACTGGAAGTCTCACGGAAATCGGTTCAACTATTTTCACACGTCACCCGAACAATAAAATAAACGCACAAATTATTTAGTCTTTGCATTTACAAGGTGTCCGAGGTGTCCAATCGCATCACCTGTTAATAACAGATTTATGAGATTTCTCATATAGTAAGCATATTAAAATCAATATGCGACGTGTTGACATTTTGATGTAAAGATTTTCGTCTTTAAATGATTTCAGGAATCGGCTATTACCGAGTGATACAATTGATCTGGGACACCCTGTATAATTTCTGCGTCTATGTAAATCGAATATCCTCCCAATTACTACATGCATTATCAGAATATACTTAGGTAGAAGCGATCGAGAGTATTTGCAAGTAAACAAGAAGCAAATAGCTCGGGGTGATCCAGCAATATAATCTACTGGCTCGGCATTAATATTCGAAGTGCCAGCCTTTACGGCTTAAATACAATAGAATTATTGCTTCCGAATTAAATAAAAGAAAGAATACGGCTATTTGCGTACTTTGTATCACATATTTATTACACAAAGACTTATAAACAAAGACGTAAAAATGAAACACATATATACACTTATATGAATAAAAATATAAAAATAAAGATATACATATACACAAAGGTAGCAATCAACGCTGATTGTGAGAACGATCTTTTTTTTTAACACAAAAATCTTCTTTTTTAACCTAAGAGAAAAAACAACGATTTAAGATGTTTCTTTTTTTTATCGTTTCTCAATACAAAATCTCCATTTTGATGAAATTGTTCCTTTCCAGAATCTCCGCCGTTTTATAATAGTATCTCTCGCAGAACTCTTGAATCCTTTGACAAGCTTCCTCAAGCATGTCGCTCGGCACGGTAATTACCAGTCTCATGTAAGAAGGATAATCGAAGCACTGCGCAATCAAGAGGGAATTAATAAAACTTGTTTACTTAGAAATAACGCAAGTTATATTCTTGTAAAACGATTTTCAAGCCAATTCCCTTTTATTGATTTTTTGATAAAATTTCTTTAAAAACCCCTTTTTTTGAATAAAGTATTATTAAAAAATCAAACAAAAGTGTGAAAAATTTATCGTGTTTTTTTTATTTATATTGAAATATTTGTCCGACATAACATTGCGAAATAATGCTTTGGAATTTTCACAATATTTTTTTACGATATTTAACGCTGGCATTAAATGTCGGCATGCCATAAAATTTAATTAAAAATAAAAAACCTCGTATTTTTGTACGAATCTGTGAGATGTAATGTAGGATTCAAATTGTCGATTGATAATTTAAATGTCAGAAACGAACCTGACCAGGTAGGCAAAACACAGATTCTTCCATTAACAGCCGCTGCACGAATTCCAAATCGGAATTAAATTCCGGAAAACATGGTAGATCAATGTAGACCTGGAAATCGATTCAATAATTTATAGCACGTAAATTGCAGTCGGTCCACCTTACTGATGGTATTTGCATTAACGTATAAATGGCGGTCGTGCATCGACTAATTGTACGACCTATTTATCGGGTGCTCGATTAACATTTACGGCTTTATTCCGCGAGCTACGGACTGTCAAACAATGCGCTGTGATTCTTGAAATTATGCAAGGGTGTGGTCGAGCTAATTTCAGCGGAAATCATTACCATCATATACATCGCTCCATCCGGCATTATCGGCTTCAGGCCAGCAATTTTTGTTATGCAGCTGTACGCCAGTTTGGAGTGCGACTGTAACACCAGAATTATTTGATATAAATATTGTACGTTGAATTTATATATTATAATCATTTTTTTTATTAAAAGAAACTTACGTGTAAGATGAAGATGACATCGTCGAAAAAGTTTTGTGGCGTTTTTTGAAGTATCGCGGGCAGAGCACCTTGAATAATAGTATTGCTGCCAATTATACGTTGACTCAAGCAATGTAAACCTTGGCGAATCTGAAAGACAATAAGTTAAAGATATAATCAACTCCTGATATCAATAATTAATTATCTATTTCATGCGACGAAAGACTGCACTTTTATTATGTTTAGAAATTATAACGCTAAAGTGATAACGCAAAATATCATGATAAACTGCAAAGAATGTACATAGACATGGAAATTTTATCGTATTTATTATTAATAATTGATTTATATATTTCAAAAAAAGAAGTAAATAAAAACTAGTAAAATACAATAAAATCTGTTATAAAATACATAAATTGTCTCTGGAAAAACGTGATTTCTTTCTTTTATCTTTTATATTCTATGTATATCAAAGGTTACACAACAGGCTTTCTTGCGAATCCGAACAGATGTAGAAACTTTCAAATGCAAGCTCAAGCTTAGTCATGTCAAGTTCAGTACGAAATCACTTCCGAAAACTTGATAGTATTTCTCGCAAACTTCGAATATTGTGAAACATCGAACGTGCTACAAATCGACAGGTATTTACCAGCCTGTCCAATACTCGCCCATGGGAGAACACTATCAAAGAGTCAAATATTCAATCTCTTTTTCCAAAGCATGACACGAAAAAAAATGTACAATGAAATAGAAGCATGAGTATATGGATGCGCGGTCGAAAGAAAAAAAATCGTGTGACGTTAATATTCACATTTTACAAAAACAAAAAAAAAAGGATCAATCGGTTTAATACATTTTGAATGTATTTAAATAATTTTATCTTATTATTATAAAATAATAATAATTTTTTTGCTATAAAAATTATTACCTAAAATGTAGCAGTATTTTATATGTAAAGTAGAAATTTATATAGTTTTATGAGATTTTTAAAAATGTAGATACGTATATGAAACTTATCAATTGGATTTCCTATCAGAATCCTCATTTTGATTACTTATCTAAGATTGCGAAACGACTCTTGCAAAGTTATTAAAGAGCACAGAAATATTCGGTAACGACGCGCAGACGGCGGTTTAAAGTTCATCCAAGACGACGGCGCCTTCGCAACTATCGCGAGGAATTAAGGGCGCGATCGACGCTGGTTGCCAAAGAACTAAACTTTAATGGTGGAATAAAATTTAATCAACGAAATTTAATCCAATCCATAATGTGCAGTGCCGAACTCGCCGGGACATGCCCAGCTTCGTTACAGAAACAATGTCGCCAGAGAAGCAATTATTTGCAGATTGTCACTTATTGTGCCGTGACCGTTTACCTACCTCGGCCTCCAGGACATTCTGACGATCGTGGATTATTATCCAACCCATACGCCAGCCTGGCACCAGAAACCTGCAAAAAAGGAAAAATTAAGTGATGACTGTAGTTAAATTTTATCTCACGGGTAGTTATTTTTTTTAAGGATAACTTTATATTACCATAAAATTATTTAAAACACTTTATAAGACAGTAAAAATTCCTAGCTTAAAGTAATATTTCTTTATAAAAATAATTATGCTAATATAATATATTAAAATAATTTTTTATAAATAATTTGAAAAATAACATACAGTTAATATATATATATATATCGATATTAATATATATATATATATATCGAATTTTTATGTTTACGAAAAACTTTTTAATTTTTTTTTTAAATAACTTTGAAATGATTCATTAATAATCTCATTCGCACATTTTACGGGCAGATTTATTTTTTCTGATTTTTCTTCTCTGGATGAAAAAGATCTTGGAGCCGCGATCACCAAAATCCGACATATACGGAAAGCTTACACATAATCTAGCGCGATCGGTCGTTATCATCGATCATCATTTTGATTCTGCACGGCGTCGACCGCCATATTAAAGTTGGATTCACACGTGAGTATCGATCGTCGCGTATTCCTTTTTGCATTTCAGCGAATTTATAGCGCAATGGCAACCGGAATGCATGATATTCCCGAGTATACATATTTAAGATTATATAGCATCTGAGAATAAGCGAGCCATGGACGCGATTGCGCGAAGTTTCGATGAAAAACGTCTTGGCGCTACAACCAAGATTTTGGTGTGTGGTCATTCACATTTGGCAGTGAGAGATCGCGAGAACGATTATGCCAAGGATTTACGTCAAAATCCCGATTATATCTCGTAATTATCGTCGCATCGGTCGTACGCGCGTGTGTACGTGCGACATGAAGGAACTTATGGACTCCGAGAATCAAGGATGCATGCTGCGCTCGCCGGCTACCGAGCTTAGACAGCAATGAATCCTGATTTGTCTGACGCGTTAGATACTGCACTACCTACATGTCTAGTTACAATATGCGAACGGTGAACGCTACATATTACATATTTCGTTCTCTCCGGTCGCGCTGCTTCTGCGCTTACGATGAAAAAGCATTTATAACACTATCTCTGATGCCACAAATATATTTTTTTCATATATTATTTAAATGGAAATGTTCACGCGCGGCGATTTTGTAATTAATAGTAAATTCATATTTTATTACAAAGTTCTCACAATAGAATATCAGCGAGCAAAATTATTTACTTATTTATTGATTTACTTAATTTATTAGCTTTATACGTTTTATCGCGCATATTTGCCTGTATGTCGTTGAATTTTGCATGTGAAACGCGATTCACCGTTAATATCAAAGTACCGCGCAGCGAAATCTGCGATGTATAAAATACACCGTGCTACACAGCGAAAGACTTAGCAACAACTGCGGGAACTCATTTACAACTAGTATAGCGGGCAGCTCGTAAATTAAGTTGCGTTTCAAATCTGATACCGTCGGAATAATGGAAGCATAATCGCGAAACTTGGAAACCTTACTCCGTACCATCGGTTTTGATAGTTTTATTCACGCTCAATCAACTCTCGTCCTATTTTTTGAAAATCGAACAATTTTACAGCGGAACGCTTTCGTCCTGAGCATTTCTCTCGTCAACTTTGCAAATCGCTACTTTCGTTTGATGCTTCCGCAATGAAAGATAATAGGAGGTAACGTACTGAAAGTAACTGAAAAAGCTGGCATAAAAAGGCGTCGCTATCTAAGCCGTATTTTCATAATTATTTTGAGGCGAGCATTACCGCGCGTTGTTAACAAACGAGCGTTAAAAAATACTTTTTATACCCAAATAAATAATTATGATTTAATTAATTTTCTGATTTATAATGCTTACAGGCATTTCGGTGAGTTGTTTCGTGTCGCAGAAACTCTTACATCTCACGTCGACTTTTTACCCTCTAGTCTTCTTTTTAACTCTTAAATATAAGTAACGTGACATTGTTTCAAGAGGTAAATTAGCCGCCGGCCGTCTCGTTTAATACGTGAGAATTACGCGTTATGCACGTGAAAATTCTGGAGTATTACACAAAAATCTCGCAGCCGCACTCCAGCGACGAAATGCGGGAGTTTTATGAGTCACTTCACGTTCCGACATACCTTTTAGTCAGTCCGCTGCACGACAAAATAGGAACTTCGGTCGATAGAGACGCTAACGAGTGGAAAGTCCGTCCTGGAAATACCTGAAAACAGCGCAGAGACGAAAAATGTATTTGCGCGTATAATAGGCACGTATGTTTCGCCTGCGTATGCAAGCGCGGCGCAAAATAATGCAAAACTGACGGATAGATGTACTAATTCTTATATTGAATTTTTCGTATCTTTTATTATTGAATATAATGCTTTTGTGTTTTAAAAATTATATATCTTTCTGAAAAGTTTTCATGACATACAAAAATAAAAAAAGTTTCTATTGTAAAAATTGCAACTCGTAAATTCTGCAAACGGTGAGAATATTAAAAATAACATTAGAAATGAAGAGTTTAAAGCATTTTCTTTTTAATTGCAATTAAATTACAACTGAACATTGTATATAGCACAAATAAAAAAATTCCCCCTCCCACCCTTGATAACGATAACAAAAACGGAACGCGCTCTTTCCCGATTCGGAACGCTCTGTGTATGTATACATACTCGTGCTGAATTAATTGCGCATCCCCTCTCCTTCGAACAAAAGGCTGCGGCGCGCGCGCTTTATTTGTTCCGCAAATGAAACGATTTGTCACTTGATATTTGGGGAAGGCGTAATATTCGGGCACGTACCATGTGCTCGTAAATCTCATCGGCTATAATGGGTACGTAGTAACGAGCGGCGATGTCGAGAATGTCAAGTATATGGTCGCGGCTGAACACGGAGCCGCACGGATTCGAGGGATTGTTTATAACAATCGCCGCCGTCGATTCGTCGATTTGTGCCTCCAGGTCGTCCAGATCGATCTCCCAGCCGAACTCCGGCTAGAAACGAACGATTAATATTAATAGGATGCATTTATGAGAGGCTCTCTCGCATTGCCTTAATCGCCTCTCTCTCTCTTCAATCACCGTGCCGCGCATATATACAAGGTATTCCAGAAATTTAACTCTGCTTTTCGATTACTTTGCAAATGAAACTTCGCTAATGAGACTTTAATGTCGCAAAACGTAAGAACTAATTACAAAAATGTTTATTATAAAATATAGGATATTAAAAAATTATGAAAAGAAACAATTTTGCTGATAAAAAAATTTACTTTTTTAAGTATGTATGAATGAAATGTAATTGCGTAGATATACTTGTATATTGAATTACGATAAAATAATACGATGCTCTTAACGAGTGCGTATAATAATAATCATGTTACGCTGTTGAATACGTGATACATTTATGCCAGTTTTTTAACAAATTTTACAATTATAATTTTATTGGATAATTTTTCAGATTTAATGACTTGTTATTTTGAAACATAATTTTTATAACTGTGTAATGTGTTTTTCTATGTAGTGTGTGTTTCTTAAATTGTTTTCATAACTTCTAGATATGTTTTAAATGTGTTTGCATAAAACTCCTTTATTTTATGATTAAAATGCCGTTAAATGATTAAAAATACCACAATATTTAAATATCTTTTATTTTAATATCTTTATTTAAATATTTTTTTATTTTATATTTATATTGTTTCATAAAATTATATCTCACAAAATTGCAACAATCTGTGTTACTGATATAGTTTTGAATAACATATTTTCCCGCAATACTTTAAAAAAAAATTTTTTTAAGAAATATATTTAACAGATAAAGTATAGATATATGAAAGCAGTAAAGTGCATATAGCGGTAAAATGCCAGAGCGTTTGCACAGATTTTATGAGATTTTATTGTCGTCTATAAACGATAATATTTGTGTCATTTGCACATGAACGTGATATATACGCATCGATGATTTACGAATTTCTTGTATATTCCATCTTTTGCAACAGAGACAATTAAAGTTACGACATTGCGATTGTAATCACTTCTCGGGGGGTGAAATAACTCACAACGATGCAGAGAAAAGAGCGAGACGTTAAAACTCGTCGGCGAGCGAAGTTGAAAAGAGTGGAAACTGCCTTCATTAGCACTTCGGTGTTTGAAGATTTCCGAGCGAAAGCACTGATTCATCGTGTAAATAACGAAGAGTGATTCAAATATGATTTCGCGCCGTTTAAAGTCATTATAGAGACGCCATGACATCTGCAATTGGCTTAAAAGTAGAAATTTTAGATGAACGCTCCGTACAGGTTTTTCTCAGGATTTCCGTCAAAATTCGAGTGAGAAATTTTTGCAAAATTAAAATTTAATGAAATTCAATTATTCGAAAAAATAACGGTACATTTTCTGACACATTTAATAGAATATATGTAATTAATTATAGTCACGATTAACGATTCTGTCCGGCCTGCCTTTGTGCGCGCTATACAAATGTGATTATGCACGCTCATTGTTTTTCATAAATGAATTCACACCCCGGGCGGTTAATAAATTTTGAGATACTAACGAAATGGCATATTTTTGCATACAAAGTCGCCCAACTAAGCCCGACCACCGTTTCAAGTGCGTTTTGTAATAAAGCGCAACTTAAGAAATATAACGAACGCTGTTATGCACATTTCTTATTAATGACGATGCAACACGGTAGCGCGTAATTCCACCTTCTCTTTCGCGGGCGCTATTATTACAGAGTAGCACTCTGTCGCTGCGGTATCGATCAATATTTTGCACGTTATCGCGGTAATATGAAATGTTCATTGCACTCTTTGTGCTTTATGTCGCTCGCAATTGCATAACATTAGACGAATAAATTACGTATTAATTAATTAAAGATTTAAGAAATTTATATAAATTGAAACGCACGCGCGCACACATACGCGGAATACTGTAATATCTCGATGCGCATGAAAATGTGGATTTATTTTTTTTCGAGTGGGATACTCACGCGTAAATCGTATGACTTAACCGTAATACCAAGGCCCTCCGCTAGCGTTCGATAGATCGAAAAACCCGGGCGTGGAATTAGTATGTTTTGACCTTCTCGAGCTAAAACCGTGATACACAGGTCAAGTGCGCAAGAACATCCACTGCACAGGATTACGTCCTACGGCAAATGTAGAGATGCAGAATAAATTATTTTTGTTATTTCTATTTGTATGGCATCAAATGCGCGAATTGGAAACGCAAAATAACTCCTTTTTTTTTTATTAAATACCGAAAACAATTTTATTATTTTTACGCTATTCATATTTTTTTTAAAGTGTTTGCTCGATATAATAGATTTTGGTATGTATTGAAATAAAATATATATAGGATTACATTTTGAATAAAGGCTTGACAAGCCTTTCATATTACCGCTCAATACGATTACTTGCACGATCACAGAAAAATGTTTGTTTTAGAAAAATAAAATGTATAATATTGTATATACGATATTTATGTGTGGATTATAATTGCACCGCGTAGACATAGGGATAAAATTAAAAATTTAAACGAAAGTAATGCAATTTTTATGCTGCAAGCTTAATTTCGGTATTATTATCGATTGTGCAGTATCGCGCGAAATTTTGCACCGTAATTCTACATTTTATCTCTCTCGGGTACTTCAATATAAATCATATAACATAAATATATATAGGTTCTTATTGATAAAACCATTACAAATAAAGAGGATCTCTAAAACCAACGCCAGATGTAATTGTTTATTAATCTTCTTTATCAATACATAAATGTTTCGGTCAGCATCTGACCATCTTCAGTGTAATACAAAATCAAAATAAAGCTACTGTCCATTATATTAAAACAGTTGAGATCAAACTGTGAGATCTTGAATTCACCGTGCAAGATGTTAT